TTCTATATTATCTATTTAAGAAGTCTGCTTGAAGATTCTCTACCAATTGCTGTATCTAATACCTTTGCTTGGATGTTTTACTTTAAACTCTCTGAACCTGTAACTGTATTAACTCACTAGATCATATCCAAATATCCAGATCATCATCTCAACCTTAGGACTAATTTATCTTTGAGGTAAACTCTCCAGAGCCTTTTGTATTTATTTTTTAGCTAACCTAGGTATTACTATAGCAAAACTAATATTTGCAGTCAGAGCTAATCATTAAACTACTATGCCTTTATAGAGTTCACTTAGACTTTAGCATCTACTTCACAGCATAACTCTGATACTTTAGTATACCTCTGCCTTTTTCTCTGTCTTTTTACCAAACTTCTAATTCAAATAGCCTGTATAGAACTATAACCAGTCTATCAGTATATCAGGTCAGCTTAATATCCTTTTTTTTTAGTTTATTCTGGTAGTTTAGTTGATGGTATTCTCAAGACTTCCAACCTAGAGGTTCTTGCCCATCTAGCTACTATGACTAAGTACTAGACCTTGATATCTGTTTCTCCAGGCTAGTCTTTACAGTAGGGCTGTCAAAGATTTAGCTATCTTTCTACTTGGGTCTTTCCAAATGAACTTCTTGTTATATAATTTTAATAGATTTACATAGCCACAAGAACTTATCTAGTGTTTGTACTACCCGATTTGTCAGTTTGCATTTCTCTGTATAACTTCAACATTGCACAAATGCTTCATCACCTATTAGTTATGCTAATGTGATCACTATTACAGATATCATAACTCAATCATTAGTAACAGTTGCCATAATACAAATATGACATAGGTGATTATTCAAATTTTTACTATTCAATTAAAATTCTTTTATTTAACTACTATATATTTTAATATAAATATTAACTAAAACTAATAACTAATACTAATAAAATATAATAATACAATAATAAATATCTATAACTAATATTAATTATATAATATATTATACTATATTATTAAACTTATTATAAAAATACTATCAGATTAATAAAAGCTTATAACTAATTTTTAAAAAATTTGTAATAATAAACTAAATAATAAGTATATATAAAGAGCATATTTATAATTAAATTATCAAAATTTATTAAAGAAAAAATTATAAAAATATATAAAAAATTTAGTTACAAATTTATTAAATTATTTGAATTAATAGTTTAAAGAGTTTAGTTAGTACTAAGTAAAAAGGTTTAGTAAAATATAATTAAAAAAATATTAAAAAAATAAATATTAGAATTTGAATAAATTTTACAAAAACAATAAAACTAGATCAATTATATATAGAATATAAAAATTTAGTAAATTTCTTATTAAAAATAAAATAATTTTAAAAATATTAAAACTTTGAATAGATTTAGTTCTAAAAATATTTTATAATACAAGATAAATTATATATGCAAAAAATTTAAATAAGCAAAACTTATAATTAGTTTATAAGTATAATATTTAATATAAAATCTGTATAGTAATATATAAACAAATTATTTTTATAAATATTATTAATATATATGAAGTTAGTTGTAATCTTTTATATAAGAAAGCTTTTAAATATTTTTTATCTATGTAACTTGAATAAAGATTATTCTTTAAAAACAAACTTTAATTATTAAAAAAATAAAAATTAATTTTATAAAGCTAACTAAATTATTAAAATTAATCTTCTTTTTTAATATTTAAATCTTTATAATTAAATTTACAGTTGTATAAAATTTAAAGAAGCAGATGCATAAAAAAAATATAAAATTATTAAAGTTAAGACTATAGAGCATTTTTAAATATTTTTAAAAAAACTATATTATATATATATTATATTAGATATAAAATTATATACCATATATTACTGAATAGAAGCTATCCCGAATAAAAGCTACCTCCTACTTTTTGAGTGTAAAAAATAAGAAAAATGAAAGAAATTGTTAGTTACCAAATAAAAGCTACTCCCAATTTTGAGTACCTTTATTCAAACCTAGAATTATAGTCTGGAATTAATAAAAATGCTTTTTTTTTTAGCATGATCAAATTTTAGTAAGAATTTATTTGAACCAGGCCATCAAATATACTATTAATAGTCAACTAATATACTGTATAGATTATGACTTTATTTATTTTTTTTTTTTTGGTATTAAGGTGACCTCTTTGGTTTTTTGACTTTTATTAATTACTTATCGGTATTGTGGTTCAATAAACTACTACAAGAGAGCATACAATTGGCTACATGTGTAACTTTTTTATATTACCTAATTAAAGAGTTTGCTCGAAGGTTCCCTACCAATTGCTGTACCTAACACCCCTGCTTGGATGTTCCACTTTAAACTCTCTAAACCTGTAACCTGTGTATGACTTTATTTAAACAATTCCCAATTAGATAATACAATTAAATATTTATTTTGCCTAATATATGCCTTCAGATTAGAAATAGGATTTCACTGATTCATATAGTTTTGTGTATAAAAACTTTTTTGAATGCAGATAGGTTATGGCAAAAAAATTGTCAAGATTACAAGATCAACGATCTTTGATAAATCATATATCAATATTACATAAAATCTATATAATTATACAGTATTAAAATTTGTAAAATTATTTGCACACTCTGTGTTAAAAACGATTGTTTGATCTTGTGATCTTGACATTTTTTTGTCATGACTAACCTATTATAAAAAATGATAAAACTGCATAAGCCATTAATTCATGCATATTTTTTTGGAAGTAATGTCAAATAAATATTTTTATAGTATAAATATTACATCATATAGTAATCATGATAGCAATTTTTATACTACTCAATTCTTCTTATGAAGAATTGAGTAGTATAAAAATTGTTACTCTGATTGCTGAATCATAATTTATTTCCATGCTTACTTTATATTATATATCCACAAACTTACGATATTTTGCAATAAAGCATGATCATTAAACTTTATTAGACAGCTGTAAAAGCTTTGAATCATACATTTTTAATCTATTGCAAAAAGAAGAACATTCTCATTTTCTTCAATTGTTGCATCATTATTTTCTTTATTCTTAAAATTCTCCTCATTTTCACCAAAATTACCAGAATTTATATCAGGATTATTTTCATTAGCTTCATTAGTTTTATTATCAAGGATTTTGTTATGATATATCTTACTATCCTCTGATCCATTCATAGCATTAGAAATAGAGCACTTGTAAAAGGCACAACGAATAATCTCAGAATCAATTTCTGCCCATGTGGCAAGCACTTACTTACAAACTATATATAGTTCAGCACATTTAAGATTTTCTTTTTTAGTTTTGCCAGACCTACTATTTGTTATTTATTTATGCTAGTGGTTATACAGTGCTACTTTGAAGGGGTGGTTAATTGAAACATTAAGTGGTTGGCATACAGAAGTTAACCTACTGGAAATTACAACAAGGTCATTATTATTCTCTTGAAGCTTTTTTTTAATTGTATTAGTAATATGTGCTCTGAATGAATCAAAGACAAGAAGAGAGGGTTCATTTTTCTGACTATTTAGATGATTTTCTATATAGTTATTGGCCCATGACAACATACTAGATTCATCCATCCAACCTTTTTCATGAAAAAAAACAATTACACTAGGAGGAGAAGCCTTAGTCTTAGCCCATCTTTGACTCTTGAATATAACTGTAGGCAGAAGCTTTTGTCCATCAGCAAAGCATGTCAGAACTATAGTAAAATGATTCTTCTCATTACCAGTTGTATGTATATAGACTGTTTTGGCACCAATTTGTTCAACAGTCAGATCACTAGCCATGTCAAACCAGATGGGAGTTTCGTCCATGTTTGTGATGTTGCTTAAGAGGTAGTTTCTCTTAAGGCATAACTGAATTACATATCTTTGAAAATTAAGCAATTGCTGCTCAAAATCAATAGGCAATTTTTGTGCTATTTTTGTTTTACAACGTAAGGCAAGATTATAGCATTTTAAAAAACATTTTAACCACATTGAGAAGGCCTTGAAGTTACTTGCAAGTTGTTTTTTTTTGAGATTATTACTTTTTAATGCCATTTCAGAAACAATTCTTAACATTTCAAACTTAAGACTATTGTATGTTACAGCAAGTGCTGCATTACATATTTCAGATATCCATCTATAAAGCTGCACTTCTTTGTTAGGAAAAAAACTTTTTCTACCACCACCTTCAAGATAATGGAATTTGCTATGATCAACTTCATCAAGTTTACTCTTTAACTTCATTACCCAATAACCAACTTGAGTCTTATCTAAATCAAACTTGGCAGCAGCTCTAAGATTGCCTTCATGAAGAGCATACTGAACAACATTGGCTTTCTCTTTAAGGGTATAAGACTGACAAACCTTCTTGATATTTTCCTGAAGCATTTTAATAAAAATTGACTAATTTTTTTTTCTTGATTATAACCACTTTATTTATATTAGATTAGATAAGGCAAGCATCAATATAATTTTAATCATTATGCACATAACTTCTATTTTTATAACAATTCCCAACATTATTTGATTTCATATTAATGATATATCATTTCATGAACATCTTCTGACTTAGAATCATTCCACAAAGACTTTTATTTTAAATTTTTTTTTTTTTTTTTTCTTTCTTCTCCTTCCTTTAATAATAATTTGTTTGAATATTGTTCATTGTATATGCTCAGGTAACCTTTATAACTAATGTCTGTAATTTTAATAAAATAAATAATGCTTGTTCT